TACGTATCATAATAAAAAACATCAATTCAATCTAATTTTGCATGCCTGATAACGCGAAGCGTTATTACGTAGTGTACTCTCGACACGTCGAAGTCAAGCAATTTTGTGTTCTTAAAATGCTTCTAGCATAATAATATTGCACTTATTACAATAATATAAGTAGCCATATATTAAGAAAACACTTGAATTAATCAATTTTATATTTTCTAAAAAAATCATTAAAAACACTGAAAAAAAAAACGGTTGAAAAACATTTTACGTGGACGTCCGGATGTTAATTTTCTAAGTGGTCACGATAACTCCTGAAAAAATAGACGTATCGTGAGCGGGTTTTTTTATTAGCTTCAGAATTACATCAACTGGTTTCCTATTTTATATTAATAGTCTATTACATCGTTTGTTAATAAAATGATTGTAATACCTATGTATTAAGATGGACATGGACAAAACAGAGATCATGTTTGATGTCCACGTCATACCTATGCCGGTAGTTGTTGGGAGCACTAAGCTCGAAGTTGTTGATGAGTATGTTTACCTGGGACAAATAGTCCGACTAGGTAAGTCCAACTTTGACTTAGAGGTCAATCGGCAGATTCAACTCGGCTAGGCGGCGTTCTGGAAATTACCACACATCTTTTCTTCACGTATACTTCAAATCTTGAAGACGAGATTGTACAACCAGTGCATGGTGGCAGTGATCATCTATGGAACTGAGACGTGGTTGTTCACTTCTGGCCGTATGAGGTCGCTCACGGTCGCTCAGCGAGCTATGGAGGGGTTTCTCTCCGTGATTAACTTTGAAATAAGGATATCCGCAGAACCAGAGTAACCAACATAACCCGACGGATTAGTAAGCTGAATTAACAATGTGCCGGCCATATAGCTCGAAGAAGCGACAACCGATGGGAAAAAAAGGTTCTTGAGTGGCATCTTCGTACCAGTAGACGAAGTGTAGGGCAACCCTCACTAGATGGAGTGACGACCTGATAAGATATGCAGTAAGTCGATGATGCCGGTGGCTCAGGACCACGCTTTGTGGCATTCCTTTGGGGAGGCCTATGTTCAGCAGTGGACTTCCGTGCGATAGAGATTTCGTCAGAGTCATTCTACGAGTGCTAAGATATCGTGGTTCTATCCGTTGTGGTAGTTCTCCTAGTGCAGGCAAGGAAGATGGTGTTGCTAAGAGGATTCCCTGTGTTACACTGAGATAAGTAGTGTTGCTGTTGGTTTGCATACTTTAGTGTTATCATATAATTACGTCCCTCACGTTACACTGTTGTGTAATTGTGGCGGGGACGTGTTACGGTGTGGTCGAACTGTAATTACTCTATACTAAATGTATAGTGCGTTACGTTGTCTTGTTAGTTATTACTGATAACAACATCCGCTCTCACACCTTTATTATTTTTAACAATTAACGCTATCCTGATGTATTTGGCGATAAAAATATATGAAGCACCGAGAGCATAAAAATGGGTAAGGCAATACCGTAACAAGATTATTCTGAGTAGAATGTATTTTTGTTAATACAACGTAAATGTATTTGTATATATTATGCAACGACAAAAGCTTTTTTTCTTTTTATTAAATGTATTTGAAATATTTTAATGTATGCTATGTTATGTAATGTATGTTACCTACCATCAAGCAGAGGTCAATCATATTTTCTTGTAATTTTGTTACCATAACTAAAACTTAAAATCTATATCTATATGTAATGTTTTTTAAGCTTTATAACTTATAAGGACGGCATTATATCTTGTAAACAGCACATTGTCAGTTTAAGCGAATAAAACTGAACTTCAAGGAATTTCATTACATTCCCTTAGATCTTATTGAAATTGCGGGCGCACGATGGAATTCGAGACGACATTATAAAAATGTCATGCGAACGCTTGAACGTGATAATATGAAGTAATAGGACATTTTTAGGAAATATCCTAAATTATGATATAATAAATAAAATCAATATTACGTTACAAGGTGCTTTGTGGTAATTCCGACATATTTTCTGATTAGTTGATATGAGCATATCTAATAATTATTAAAAAAAACCTATCCGAGTTTACTAACAACTCATGTCACTTTTATTTATTGAAAATCACATTCTAATTATTTTGTTATTCATATAAATGAAATTTTAACCCTACACGATACATAAGTAAAGGCTGTAATACATACGGTAAGGGATCCCCTAGTAATGAATATAGCTTATTTAAGATTATAGGTTCTAAGGATTGGTGACCAATCGGTGGATCAGAGACCAATCCTTAAGCTAAGATTGTAGACAGTATAATTAACTGCTATTATGGTAGTCAGAAACTTACCGTATACGAGTACACGTAAATAACATACGAAACACAAAAGTGTCCCACTGTGGATATTATTCTGCTGACGATTATGACAGGCTATTGCTAAGACATAATTGTAGGTAGGATGTGGAAAGTAAAATTATGTACTATTTATTAAAAAGTTTAATTTCTTACTGTTAAGATACAATTGTATGGCACACAACTAGTAAAATTTGAATAATAAAATAGATGATAGCTTTCCAATTAATAAAAACACTAAAGATATTCACTTGAGTACCAATTAACGAAAATCAAAATTGAATAAACATAAAAATTGATAAATACCTTTAGTTAGTAAAAATATTTAATACAAGTTGTTTCTCTCCGTACAAAACAGAACGAAGTGCATATTGCTTTTGAATTATATCTTATGTTACATTATGTAATTACTAACAGCAAAGTATTGCAGTTATTATAATTAGGAATCACTTATCTGTGAACACAATGAGGTGCATATTTTTATTTTATAAGCTAAATAAATTTCGCAAGTATTTGGACCATTAAATATAAACTCCATCTTTATCATCATTAAGTACGAATTCATCTGGATTTTCTTTAATTTGAATCAATTCAATTTCCTTCACGATTAAATCGACAGTTATACAATCTATATCAGCTCTCCTTGTTTTTAAAAAATTTGAAAGATATTTCGTACTTTGTTCCAGCTGATTATTATTTATTTCCATTATCAAACCAACGTAACATTTTAATTTCCTATTTTCATAATATCTAGCCAGTATAGTATCTCGGAGATCATATGCTATAGCTTCTTTTACTTGATTTTTCAATATTATTCATTTACCTTTAGTTTCATTTTTTTTATTTATATCCTGATTATTATTTACTTCAGCCTTAATTCCTATATTACGAGAATTATTTTCAATATCCTTTTTTCACATTTGCTATCTTCATCTTTAACGATAATTTTATTATCCAGTCTTATAGGTCTAGCCTCAGTCTGTAATTGTAAATAGATCTTTTCAATTTCATCTAAACGCATTACGTCAGCAAATATAGTGGCTTCTTTATCGTCTACTCGTTTTCTAATTGTGTCTTCATCTTCGTCATCATCAGGAATCGATATAACATCTGCAATGTTTATGTCACTGTCACTATGGAGGCTCATAATATTTTCTACTGAAGTAGTTGAGCTATTTTCATACTTCTTTGTTTTCTTGGGTTTGTTTGTTCTGTTTTTGTTTGTTTTGTCTTTTTTCTTGATGAGTTAGTATATCAACTTGATTGTCCAAATTATTCTCTACCACGGCAGTGGTAACTGTGCATACGCGCATATCCGGTTTTCTTATCTAAAATTAGTTGTAATGTATTGTCTTCTTTTTTTGATATTTTTCTTTTTCATACTGCCAATTTTCTTTATTCATTTCTTCCGTATAAAAATTAGCCTCAAGACAGTCCACTTAATCAAAATCTAAACAATTTTCACTGTTTTCTATTACATATATATCAACATCAGTTCGGGAGTTTATTAAGTCACTCATAAAGTAAGTGCTTGAACGCCTTTTAAAGTTTATGCCAGATTCCTTCTTAGTTTTCAGTTTTCTTTTTGTAATACTCGTTTTTGGGTTTTCAGATTTTACACCTTTTTATTTTGTTTTAAATAGTCTGAGTGATTACTTCTGCTCCTTTAGCCACTCGTTTTGTTTTGTTGTATTATAATTTTTATCTTGCCGGATCCTTTCTAAGAAGAGTTCTTCAAAGCTGATTTTAATATGGTGACCATTTTTCTGATTTCTCAAGCATTGTGGTAATGCCGATTTTTGGTTTGCCACAAATGTTAGCAACTCGATATCTTTCTTTGAAACTTGGCTCAATAAATTCACATTTGTTGGTCTGGTCTGACTGGTCTCTTCAGTAATTGGAGTTTTTTTTTTATAGGAGAGGGGGCAAGCGAGCACGCGGCTCACCTGATGGTAAGTGACTACCGCCGCCCATGAACAACTGCAACACCAGAGAGGGAATTGCAGATGCATTGCCGGCCTTTTAAAAAGGAGTACGCTCTTTTCTTGAAGGTCCCTAAGTCGTATCGGTTCGGAAAAATCGCTGAGTACACTTATTTTCAGAAGTAGAGTAGCTGATAGTTAATTTTTTATTCAAAGTATCAATGCACATTAACCTTAGTGACTTTGGAACTGTATAGTTTAGCTGGGTTGCGGAACTACATTTAGGTTTAGTGAAAATATTCCAGATTTTTGAACCCATTTTGAACAACTTCAGTATGTGTCTGTTGCCATGTCCTAGCACAAGTTTGCGCAAACACCTTTTTTGACATTTTTTTTCCAAAATTATGGCGTTGCCACTCAACTAACTTTCTGTCCCATTTTGATTTAAATGATTTAAATACAGCAACATCACGTGGCTGTAGCAAATGTACGATATATGAGACGGGAGTTTCAAGATAGTTATATAATTTTTACAGCCAACTCCACCACATCAGTATCGATATGAGTAGAATGGCCGTCGTAAATTAATAGAACTGGCCGTTCAGTACCAAGGGATGGCATTAGGATTGTATCTATATAATTATGCAATATAGGTGACTCCATCCAGTCCCTAGAACTGACCGCATAGGTCAACTCAAAATCAAAGTCATCCGATTTGGCCATCCATTGGTCCCACATTTGATTTCCTTTAAAAATTATTAAAGGCGAATTTTTTACCAGCGGCATTAACGGCCGCTAAGAGCGTAATACTTTCTTTTCCAGTCCTATATGTTATTCTCGAACAAGGTTTATTAATTTTTACGACAACATTGGTTTTTGTCGGATCTAGGGATAGAGAAGTCTCGTCCAAATTCCAAATTAAATCAGGTTTTTCTAACAGATTCAAATGAGCCAGCTTTTCTTCAAGCAGTGCGAAAAATTCAGAAATAACAAATGGGTCTATCATTTTCCTCCTTATATGTTCCACTGGTTGTGGTTTTTTAATCGAAAACTCATTTCTGTTTTTAAAATTTATAAACCAGTCTGGTCCGGGTTTATTATTGGTAAAAAGGGTTTTCAAGTTATTTTTTTTTGCAATATACTCAGCAACTATGTCTAATATCTCTTGCCTCGTCAGACCAAATCCCCACTTTTCAATAGGTGCTATAGCATTTGCCAGTCGTTGTTCGACTGAAAATAATATAGCTTGTGATCCGCCCACTTTTTCTCTGTTATATTTACATATACCTTTCATCCTATCAAATAGCGTTGTTGTTGGCATATTAAACTCTTTGGCGGCAGCGTACATACTCATCTCATTGGATACCACTGCTTGTATTGCTTTATCCATTTTATCTTGAGCATAATGCGCAACTTTTTTATAATATATTTACGAGGCATTTTCTCCTGTAAAAATTTATAAAAATTAATAGTGATAAACAAATAAGTCAATTTTATTTTGAAAAAATTACCAAAAGTGAGACTCGCGAACTAAAGCTTCCGCATCACCAAAACGATTATAGTTTGACTACAATACATTGTTATCTTGTAATTTAATATGATGAGAATAAAAAAAATAAAAGCCGTTCTATACATTAGGCATAGCGGTAGGAGTGTACGTCTTGTCCACTCCCATTGGTTAAATTCTCGAAGGTGTAAAACTTATCCAAAATAACAATTTATGCTGACGAAAGATTGACAACCACTGTAAAGTTCTATGGAAGAGTAGTTCGATAGTCCATTAATTCGTAATTGACTCTGTGGGGTATTTCTGAGAAAACACAAAAACAATAGCTGGCTAATCCTAATCTATAATATTAAGCTTAAAAAACAATTATCTATCACAAAATCAATCAATCATTATGATTACTTTCCAAGTTCCCAAGATAATGAACACAGCGTAATTTCATAAAACCGAAAAGTGTTGGAAAAGCCTATTTCCACCGAAAACTTAACTTCGCGCGCTGTTGGCACTAGCCACCCGACACTACTGAAGCGAGGGAGAAAAGTAAGATGGCGTCTACAATAATGTTACATGAGCTAAAAATATTGCATAGTTAAGTCGTAATTTGTATATATTGGAATTCGCCTATTTTCGTAATAACCCTAAAGCACCTTAATAAATAATATTATAATATCAAAATTAACGGCAACCGCGGTTCTTACTTTAAATTTCTTATTAGAAAGACGCTGCTGCCGATTTCTTGGTTTGATGTGTTCTGACGCCTTATATGATACGCACGGGACGATATGGAGCAGTGGATATTCTTAGATCGCCGCGCCACCACATGGTTTTCCGACACTATAACAATATAACTTGACATGGTATCTAGTATATGTTTGTGGTACATTTAATATACATATTTTGGTACGAATAAAAATGCTTAAAATAATCAGTTTTTTTTTTATAGGATAAGGGTGACAAACGAGTACACAGTCCACCTGATGGTAAGTGGTTGCTGTGGCCCATAGACATCTACATCTATCTTCGATTAAGAATCAAAATGCAGATGCGTTGTCACCCGTGAGGATTAAGATGGAATGCCTCGTTTCCAGTAAAAAGGGTCTCCGGTTCTCTACACTCACCAAACGAAACACAGCAGCGTTAAGCTGCTATTTTACGCTGGTATTCTGTGAGAGCGTGGTCCTTCCCCGGTCGAGCCGACTCCTTCAAGAAAAGAGCCTACTCATTTTTAAAAGGCTGGCAATGCATCTGCAATTCCCCTGATGTTGCGGTTGTTCATGGGCGGCGGTAGTCACTTACCATCAGGTGAGCCGCATGCTCGTTTGCCCCCTCTCCTATAAAAAAATAATAATTCGTGCTACATCCATAATATAGCTGCAGCATAGCTCTACCACGTATAAAATCATTAGTTTTTGTGTAATGCAAATTGCACATACTATTCATATAAATCTGGCATCAGATGAAAGCTTAGTAAAGTTTCCTAGTGAGCTTAAAGTTTTAAGTGAAAATATTTTAAGCTTACAAAGTTTAAGAAGTGAAATAATTTAGGATTGCCTTAACTTAAGTTTCGAAATTCGCTATTTCAGAAAATAGCTACCTTATATATATTGCCAGCAGGCAGCCGACCGGCAGAACTGCGGCGAGGCATCTCGCAATCATCATCATCATCACAGCCCTTCGCAAGTTCATTGCTGAACATACACCTCCCCCAGGGAATGCAAAAAAGTGCAGTGCTCTGCCTACATCCATCGACTGGTTGGCCGCCCCACAATTCTGGTACGAGGTTGCCACACGAGAAACTTTCTTCCCAGTCGCTTGTCGGTTACTCTGGTAGTACCGCGGCTACCATAATTTCTAAGGAGTATATATACTTATAAATATATAATATTCATTTTAAATCCTGAATAATTATCCGTTTTAGTTTAAGTGATGATGAAACGGTTCGGGTCAACTTTATTAGTCAAGACGTGGACCTTACGAGCAGCTGCTTCTGACTTGGTTGCCGATTTATTTGTATAGCATCACTTAACCTTCCTATACCCGCGCTATATTTTGTACGGACCGCTAGTTCAGAAGTTTGTTTTATGAATTCAATTCATGAAATGTACAGTGAAATGCCGTGTAGTGGCAGTTAAGAATATCCACTACCCCATATATTCCCGTGGGTGTCGTAAAAGGCGACAGAGGGAAACTGAGGCAGAGGATGGGCAGCAGCATCTTTCTGATAAAAAGAAACTTACATTAAAAAACTGCGGTTGCCAAACCGCTGGCCATGCGTGGCAACTATGGCAAATACCCCCCTATGATGAGAGTAACAAAGAGATGGCCCCCAGTCCCCGGCAGCCCCGCTATTCCTGGCTACGGTGGCGACCATGGTAACGGCAGGGCAGGGGAGGTTCTACAAAAAATGAGATTGACTTCATTATGACGACCAGACGACAACTGTTCAGTGATATCTCCGTGATCGCGAGGGTGAAAACTGGTAGCGATCACCGAATGGTTAGAGGCACACTGAACCTAAATGTTAAGTTGGTGAGGTCTCGTCTAATGAAGTCAACGCTCCGTCCTCTTCGTGCTCTGCTCCAAAGCCCCGAAACCTTTCAGCTCGAATTAAAAAACCGTTTTCAGTGCCTAAAAGACAGCAATGAAGTGGACGATATAAATAACAAGCTCGTGGAAACTGTCCATGCGGTCGGAGCTAAGTTCTGCAAGACCCGCCGCAGAACAACACAATAACTCTCCGATCACAATCTTAATCTCATGGCTGTTAGATGTAAGATGAAGCCACATTCTTCAACAGATTTGACAGCATACAGTCAACTGAACAGACAGATCTCCAAATGCATGCGGCGGGACTTACGCAACTTCAATACAGCTTGTAATGAAGAAGCGATCGAGCGGAACCAAGGCTCCAAAGTCTTTGCCAGAGATCTGTCTGCCAGAAAGAGCCAACTGTCAAAGCTGAAGACCGAGTGTGGCAGCATCGTTTCCGGGGCACCTAAGATTTTGAGTGAGATTGAGAGGTTCTATGGGCAGCTGTACACGTCATCGTTGGAACCACACGCAAGTGTGAGTAACGATCCAAGAGCGAGTCTTATCCAACACTATTTCGAAGATATCCCGGACGTCAGTCTGAGCGAGATTAGAATGGCTCTCCGGCACCTTATAAACGGCAAGTCCCCGGGCGAGGATGGAATTACAGCGGAGCTTCTGAAAGTGGGTGGAAAACCGGACCTTGAAGTCCTTCAGATGCTCTTTAATTCCGTCCTCCATGGTGGCACTACTCCGGAGGCGTGGAGCAGAAGTGCGGTGGTCTTGTTTATCAAGACGGGCGACAACGCTCACTTGAAGAACTACAAACCGATTTTTCTTCTGAGTCGCGTCTACGTACTGTTTTCAAGAGTCAATACGAATCGTCTCGCGCGCAAAGTTGACGACTTCCAGCCTCCTGAACAAGCCGGTTTTCGAAAGGGCTCTAGCACCATAAATCACATACGTACCCTTTGGCAAATTGTACAGAAGTTCGAAGAGTACAAATTGCCACTATGTCTGGCGTATGTGGACTATGAGAAAGCCTTTGATTCCGTCGAAATTTGGGCGGTGCTGCAGTCCCTTCAGCGGTGCCAAGTTGACTGACAGTATATCGAAGTGCTGAAGTGCTTGCACAGTAGGGCTACGATGGCTATCCAAGTACAGAACCAGAGTACGAAACCTATCCAATTGCAGAGAGGTGTAAGACAGGGTGACGTTATTTCCCTGAAACTCTTCACCGCTGCATTGGAAGACGTTTTCTAGCTTCTGGACTGGAAAGGATACGGTATTAGCATCAATGGCGAGTACATCACTCACCTTCTATTTGACGATGATACAGTCCTTATGGCAGAATCGCTGGAGGACCTAAGCACTATGCTCAATGACCTCAATAGTGTTTCCCAACGGATAGGTCTTAAGATGAACATGGACAAAACAAAGATCATGTTTAATGTCCATGTCACACCTATGCCGGTAGTTGTTGGGAACACTAAGCTCGAAGTTGTTGACGAGTATGTTTACCTGGGACAAATAGTCCGACTAGGTAAGTCCAACTTCGACCGAGAGGTCAATCGACGGATTCAACTCGGTTGGGCAGCGTTCGGGAAATTACGACATATCTTCTCGTCAGGTATACCTCGAAACTTGAAAACGAGACTGTACACCCAGTGCGTGTTGCCAGTGATGACATACGGAACTGAGACGTGGTCCTTCACTGCTGGCCGGATGAGGAAGCTCAAGGTCGCTCAGCGAGCTATGGAGAGGGCTATGCTCGGAGTTTCTCTGCGTGATAAACTCAGAAATGAGGATATCCGCAGTAGAACCAGAGTGACCGACATAGCTCAACGGATTAGTAAGCTGAAGTGGCAATGGGCCGGCCATATAGCTCGAAGAACCGACAACCGATGGGGAAGAAAGGTTCTCGAGTGGCAGCCTCGTACCGGCAGGCGAAGTGTAGGGCGTCCCCCCACTAGATGGAGTGACGACCTGGTAAGATATGCAGGAAGTCGATGGATGCAGGTGGCTCAGGACCGTGCTTTGTGGCATTCTTTGGGGGAGGCCTATGTTCAGCAGTGGACTTGTGAAGGGCTGTAATGATGATGTTGATGATGAAACAAAAAACGTTCCTGTCGATAGTAATTATTGTTCCCGGAATGTCACACTTACAATCTATGAAATTACATGGCACACAGAGCTCATAATCGACAAGGGATCAATGATGAATAATTTACGATTTGAATAACCTAACCATACTCTTATAAATCATCGTTAATTAAAAAAATGTTTTAAGTTGCTATCTCTTTTCCTAAATTTGTCATTAAGTTAGATACAGATGTGGGGATAATGAATATTTA